TTTATTTATATTTATGTTCCGGACCATTTTGTGAATCCATTTTCCAGCCTTTATCAAGATCTTCACCTGGCCAATATATAGAATGTCTTCCAAAAACTGGCAACAATAAATTTTTGTTGCCCCCACCCCCCACACCAATCACATAATTAATATAAGCTCTTAAAAAATTTATTAGCTATAGCAGAATTTCATCAATTAGCAGTGGGGACTTACACCGGGGACATAAATCTGCACAGATTTGAAAGGTAGATCTAGTTTTAACATTCTGTAGACAAAATTTCCACATAGTTGTTTTTGCATAAACATTATAAACCAACATTGAATTCCTCTCAACAAATAAATGAACAAAGCTCTTCCAGGAACTATTGCTGTTATTTAATAATTGTCAATGACTTATGCAGGACTGCTTGGAAGGCTGTGGGATACAGGCTCTTATGTAGTCACCTCAAGTTTTCAAGGGAGGTTATTAATATCTTCAACAAAATTTCAGTTTCTTATTATTTCTCAAGAATAATTTTAAAACAATTTTTAGTAGGTTTCTAAAGTTTTAAATAACCAGACTTAAATGTAGTTTTCTGATAAAATACTCAAGAAAACTTTTGTGAGATACTTTTTAATCTACTCTAGTATTAACGACTAGCCCTGGTCTAGTCTTCCTCTGTCGGATGTGCTGCTTGACAAGAAGCATGAACGAGGCATTTAGATCTTAGAGTTCATTAAACAATTTAGGACTTAAATGTTCCTCCATGCACGTGGCACAGTATCAAAACTTAGATCTAACATTCTCTGGATTCTGGAAGCTGTTATATTATCTAAATAAAAATGAGATTAGAATATTTGAATTGAGTCTTGTCTCCTGGTTTTGAGCTTGATTTTCTGTACCAAACTCCTAAAAGCCTTTATTGATTTTCATTCTCTGTAAAATAACACAGTTAAAATTAACGTTGAAAGTCATATTTTCTATTCCAAATTATTCTAATTAGTATTGTAACTGGTTTTGACTGAAAATTAAAACTTGCCAATTTGGTCCACTGAAAGAATATTTAATAGAAAGTGTGTTTGAATGCCAGGTTCAGCCAGCTTGCCCAGAACTTATTTTTACTTCAAGGATAGAAGGAGCTGTAATTCATCCATCTTTTTACCTAAAGTTCCTTTCATATATGAGACATTTCTATTCCCATCTTAACTATTTCATAACAAATTAGAGAGCTAAAATATTTGTGAATAAGACATTTAGATTGTTGCTCTTTTGTATTTCGTGCCTGTGTATTTCTTTGCTGCACATTATTAATCTTCCTGCTTTTTATTTCTTTTTTTTCTTCCGATAACCAACCCAGAGAAAACAATTTCTCAACCAGCAAATTTTGAAATCCTGCAGAAGAAAGATAATGATCAGGCAACGTATGTTTGTCTTATTGAGAAATTCTACCCAGAAGTTATTCGGGTGAGATGGACCGACAGAGAAAATAAGGAGGTAACAGACAACGTAGTGACAGGAAGCACTTGGAAGGCCACCACAGAGGATGTATACTCAATTGCCAGCTGGCTAACTGTACCAGCAGAGAAGAAAGATGAAAATTACTACTGCAAATATGAGCATGAAAGCCCAGATCGTTCACTGTCAACACAAGGTATACACTTTGTTAAGAATTTCATTCTACTTATCATTACACACGTCACTTTTTCTTTGCAATAACGCTTTCTATTACTGTTCCTGAAAGCATCTGTGCTCCTTGGCACAACAATAGCTAAAATACACTTCCAGAGGAACTACCAAAGTATTCCCAGGAACAGCAACCCAGCCTGTGCTGTGCTCT